CCATTTAACATTCTCACCAACAATGCACAAAGGTTTTCAATTTCTCCACATCTTTGTCAACACTTTCTCTGTTTCTATGATAGTAGCCATCCTAATGGGTGTGAGGTGGCATCTCATTGTGATTTTGATTTGAATTTCCCTAATAATTAGTGATGGTGAACATCTTTTCATGTGCTTACCGGCTATTTGTATATCTTTGGGGAAATGCCTATTCAAGTCTTTTGCCCATTTTTCAACTGAGTTGTTTGGTTTTTGTTGTGGAGTTTTAGGATTTCTTTATAGATTTCGGATATTAATCCTTTATCTGATATTAATCCATATCAGATAATATGACTTGAAAATATTTCCTGCCATTCTGTAGGCTGCCCTTTCATTGATGGTGTCCTCTGATGTACACATTTTAAATTCTGATAAAATCCAACTTATTTTTTCTATTGTTGCCTGTGCTTTGGGTGTCACATCCAAGAAATCATTGCCAAATCCAATGTCAAGAAGCTTTCCCTCTGTTTTCTTATCAGATACAAGATAAGGGTCCAACTTCATTCTTTTGCTTATGGATATCCAGTTTTACCAGCACCTTTTGTTGAAAACCATTTTGACCACATGTGGCGGGGCTCATTCTGGGCTCTATATTCTATCGCACTGGTCAATATATTTGTCTTTATGCCAGAACCACATGGTTTTTAAAAATTTTTATTGAAATATAATTGACATATAAGTACCACACTGTTTTGGTTACTGTAGCTCTGTATTAAGGGAACGTACCTTAACATAATAAAGGATATATGACAAGCCCACAGCTAACATCACACTCAATGATGAAAAGGTGAAAGCCTTTCCTCTAAGATCAGGAACAAGACAAAAATGACCACACTCACTACTTTTATTCAACACAGTACTGGAAGTCCTAGCCAGAGCAATTAGCCTAGAAAAAGAAATAAAAGACATCCAAATTGGAAAAGAAGTAAAACTGTCATTATTTGCAGATGACAGGATATACATGTCATAGAAAACCCTAAAGACTTCCAAAAAATCCCGTTAAAACTAATAAAAAAAAAGAAAACCAACGAATAAATTCAGTAAAGTTGCAGGATACAAAATCAATACACAAAAACCCGTTGTATTTCTTATATTTATAACAAACTGCCAGAAATGAAAATTAAGAAAACAATCCCATCTACATTTGCATCAAAAAGCATAAAATACGTAGGAATAAATTTAACCAAACAGGTAAAAGATTTGTATATTGAAAACTACAAGACACAAATGAAAGAAATTGAAGAATTTATAAATAAATGGAAAGATATTCATGCTCATGGACTGGAAGAATCATTATTGTTAAAATATCCATACTACCCAAGACAATCTATAAATTCAATGTAATCGCTATTAAAATTCTAATGGCATTTTTCAAAGAAATAGAACAAAGAATCCTAAAATTTGTACAGAACTACAAAAATCCCTGAATAACCAGAGCCATCTTGAGGAAGAACAAAGCTGGAAGATCACACTCCCTGATTTTAAACCATATTACAAAGCTACAATAATTAAAACACTATGGTATTGGCATAAAATCAGACACACAGATCAATGAGACAGAATAGAGAGCGGGGATTAAACCCACACATACATGGTCAACTAATTTCCAACAAAGGAGCCAAGAGTATACAATGGGAAAAGGACAGTGTCTTCAATAAATAGTGCTGGGATAACTGGACAGCTACACACAAAGAATGAAACTCAACCATTATCTTACACCATACACAAAACTTCACTCAAAACAGATTAAAGACTTGATGTAAGACCTGAAACTATAAAAAATCCTAGAAGAAAAAATAGGTGATAAGCTCTATGTCACAGGTCCTGGCAATGATTTTTTTAATCTGACACCAAAACCAAAAGGAACAAAAGCAAAAATAAGCGTGACTACATCAAACTAAAACACTTCTGCACAGCAGAAGAAACCAACAAAATAACAAAATAAAAATAAAAAGAATAAAAAAATTCATTTCTCCTGAATAGGAGAAAGTAGTTGCAAGTCATACTTCTGGTAAGGAGCTAATACCCAAAATATATAAAGAACTCATAAACTAAATAGAAAAAACCCACACAATCTGATTTGAAAAATGGTCAGGAGATCTGAATAGACATTTTTCTTTCTTTTTTTTTTTGAAGGTTTTATTTATTTGACACAGAGAGAGAGAGTACAAATAGGCAGAGCGGCAGGCAGAGGAAGAGGGAGAAGCAGGCTCTCCGCGGAGCAGGGAGCTGGACGCAGGAATGGATCCCAGGACCCCGGGATCATGACCTGAGCCGAAGGCAGATGCTTAACCGGCTGAGCCACCCAGGCGCCCCCCCGAATAGACATTTTTCCAAAGAAGACATACAAATGGCCAACAGGCATACCAAAAGATGCTCAACATCATTAATCATCAGGGAAATGCAGATAAAACCACAGTTAAGATATCACCCTCACACCTATTAGAGGGGCTATTGTCGAAAAGACGGGATAAGTGTAGGCGAGGATGTAGAGAAAAGAGAACCCTTGTGCACTACTGGTGGGAATAAAATTGGGGTAATCACAGTGCCAAATGGTATGGAGGCTCCTCAAAAAATTAAAAACAGAACTACCATATGATCCAGCAATTCCACTTCTGGGTATTTATCCCAAGAAAACAAAAACACTGACTTGAAAAGATACCTGCACCCCCATGTTTACTGCAGCATTACTTACAATAGCAAAGACATTGAAACAGCCTAAGTGTCCATCGATGGATGAGCGGGTAAGAAAATGTAGTGTGTGCTGCGTGTGTGCATGTATACACATACATATATACACACAGGCACACACAATGGAATGCTATTCAGCCATTTAAAAAAAAATCAAATCTTGCCATTTAGGACAACATGGATGGACCTTGAGGGCATTATGTTAAGTGAAATAAGTCAGACAGAAAAAGGCAATTACCATATGATCTCCTTTCAATGGGGGATTTAAAAAACAGAACAAACAAAATGAACTCATAGATACAGAGAACAGACTGGTGGTTGCCAGGGGCAGGGGGAATGGGGTGGCAAAATGGGTGAAGGTGGCCAAAAGGTACAAACTTCCAGTTATAAAATAAATATTCTGCAGTTTCAGATATTACCATTAAGGCTTTTATATAAAATTTACCACAACTAAGAATTATGTATAACATGAAGTCCACTGATTGAATTGCTAGTGGAATTTCTGCTGATATGATTTCCAATTTAATTTAGGTTAGATATAATCCCAAATGGTTTTTTAAAATGAAAACCAAGAACGTACCACTTTGGCAAGTTAAAGAAAACTTCCTAGTTTTCTAGGGGGGAAAAAAAAAAGAAGTTGGAACAGATACCATTGTGAGGTTTTTTGAGAAAGAATCCTTAGGAATATAATTTTAAGATAAATTAGTAGTACGTGTGGTTTTTCATGGATCACAAATAAACGGCAAGGTTAATGTAATTATTATACGAAAATGTAGAGCTCTTAAAAATTTTGAGAAAACTAGGAAGGACGATTTCAAAAGGTCGGCATCATGGCTGACCTTGAGAAAGAAAACAACACTTGCCAATGAAAACAAACCTGAAAGGTACAGAACTGGCGGCGGTCATCTTTCCCCCTCGCTCTGCTCTTCACACGTTGTCCGCGGACCTTCCTAATACGTGCTTCTGATGGTCACCCCTTTGCTCAGAAGACTATTTCCGGAAGAAAGGCAGCTCCTTAAGCTTTGCAGGATGTCCCACACTCACCTTTCCAGCTGGATTTAACTTCACTTTGGCTCCGCCTCACCTGTGCACCAGCCACCAAGAGCTCCTCCCTGAAGTGACTACACTCTCGGGAGTCAGCTCCTTGGCTCGTTCTGTTCCCTCTGGCCAGAATTCCCCTTCCTTTCCCTGCTAACCTCCTACCCGGCTCACCGCTCTTCTCCAATGCCGTCTCCCCATAAGATCTTTCACTCCAGCTGGCTGTCCTCCTGTCCTCGGACACCTCAGTGTACTTTCAAGTGCCTCTAAAGGCCCTAGTATTCCATCTTATTCCCAATTACTTATCATCTCCACGGCAGGACTGTAACTGGCCTGAGGTAGAAGCTGTTTCATTCCTACTCTATCCCTGGAAGCAAGTGACACAGTGTCTTACACACTCGAGGCACTCAGTATGTAGTGAGTCAAACCACATCAAGTTTTCTCCAAGAAAGCCACTGGAAGGAAAACACTTTGGGTGCACAGACAGAAAATTAGGTTTGGTATGTTGAGAAAAAGTCTCTGCACATGCAAAATTTCTACCAATGACAAGAATATTTTACTTTGGTACAACTAAGACCTATAGGCTTTTGTGAGGTCATGATGGAAAAAAAAAAGAAGCCACACACAAAATCTCTCTTTCCAGGTAAGAATGAACTAAAGGAGAGTAGACCTTAAAAAATAAACTCAATCATTTTCCCCCAAACTGTAGAAAGTAATACAAGAAATGTTAACAATTGTTACAGTGAATTGATAAATAGTCCTAATTACGTCATTAGCCTCAGAAAAAAGCTTAAAATACTTCTGGCTTATGTGAATTTACTCCCAAGTAATAGGAAGCCAGGATAAAAATCACTAGCTTTTCCTTAATCACAGGCTCCAAAAATGAATGAATGAATGAATGATTGAATAAATCAGGACTTAATCAGACCTGAATGAATGAATGAATCAGGACTTCATAAGACCTGGTTCAGAGCTCACTATAAACTGGTGCTTCTCAAAATATTTGTGGGAAAGGACTGGTTGTGAAATACTTGCTATGTGTTGCAGACCAGTACTCTCATAAAATACAATTAAAATGCTGCAGCATTGTTTAAAGCTTGACACGCGCTTTTTGTACTCGTCATGGGCCAGGAACGAACTTTGCAAATGGGCAGCAGCAATCCACTGTTTCCCTGTAGCCACAAACATTGAACCCGCTACCAAATGCAGGGGAAGGCAGGATATGAGCCTACCTTCTGCTCTTGCACCTCAAACACAGCTTCATGGACACTGCAAGCAAAAAGTGAGGTAGGCAGATCACTGAAATCCATCATCTCTTCCAAATCATCTTCATTTTCACCAAAAACCATCTCTTCTTCCTCTTCTTGGTCACTGCTACAGAGATCTGACTGGCTATCATTCCAAGATTTCATAGTGTCCCTCAGCATTATCCCCTAAAAGCAGGTCTTTTCCGTTTTCAAAGTCCTAAGGTGTCTACCAGGCATCTGGTGTTAAAAAAAGAAAGAAAGAAAGCATAAACATAAGACTTTGAAGGCCAAATACTGTTTCAGTCAATTCTCAAGACAGCAGTTCATCAACAGAAGCAATTTTATTCAGGAAAGATTAACCAGAGTTTAAATCAATTCATTACAGTCCTCATAAATAACATCTATATATTCTAATTTGATTTGCTTAGCATATTTTATGTGATATATTTCACTGGCAATGATGTATGACAAAAAAAGGCAAAAAGTTTTCTAGGGAAATTGGGAAAAAAAGGGGGGGGCAATACAAAATGAGCTAGCATGAATCTGTACACTAGTTTACAAGTAGTAGGAAGGAAAATGTGAACCAGAACTGCCTTCACATATTTGTTTTGGGTTTTTGGTCTACAACACTGAAACTGGCAGCATTTTAAAACCCACACGATCCATTCACCATCTGTACCGTGAAATCTGTCTGCAATGACACGACTTCACCTTTCTTAACCAATCTGTTCTTTTTGAATATACTCCCAAAGAATTAAGTTCCACAGAACCAGAAGTTCTATATAAAGTAGGTCTTTGTTAATATTAGAAATATTTAGGGCACCTGGGTGGTTCAGTCGGTTAAGGGTCTGACTCTTGGTTTCAGCTCAGGTCAGGATCTCAGGGTGGTGAGATCGAACCCCGTGTCAGGCTCTGTGCTGGGTGAGAAGCCTGCTTAAGATTCTCTCTTTTCCTCTCCCCGCTCCCTACCAAATAAATAAATTAAAAAAAAAATTTTTTTAAGTCAAAATCTGACACAGACAACAATCAAAGAGATGTCCTTTTTCTGAGCATTTAAAAATCAATCAAGGCATGGAGCGGATAGTGTCCCTCTGTTAAATAATGGCACACAGTCTGTCTTATATGGACTTTATATGCATGTCTGTCTCCTCTGATGAATTCTAAGCACAGTGCCTTGAGCATAACACCTTTCAAGGTGCTGAAATGGAATTTAAGAAATACAAATCAGGCACAGAAAAATTAAGTGATCATGATTTTTACTAGCTATACTACCTCATTTGTGATTTTCCATGTTATTTCAAAGAACACAATGCAGTAAATATATTGCTCATACAGAGTACACAACAGACATTAATGATAGGCTACAAACAGCAGAAGTTTTTTTTTTTCCCCTTTCATTATTCAACTACACCCATCAGGAAAGATTAATCCCCAAAAGTAAAATCCTTACTCATTTTAGTAAACGTTTTCTGAATGCCCACTGCATGCCAGGTATTATTAGGGATATTAAATGAGTAAGAAATAGTTCTTAACCTCAAGGAGCCCCCACCAAAGCAGAATTTCTTCTCCTCCACAATGCTAACCACTCCTACAGGATCTCGTTCCATGAATTAGCTCCTATACTTTCAATTTCTCCTCCTCCTTCTGTTCCTTTTCCTTGGTAACCACACACCTATTCAAGATCCCCACCCCCACCCACTCAATCTTAAAAAAAAAGAACACCTTTCCTTGTGGATTCTACCTTCCCCTACATCTACCTCTCCGCCTGCCTCTCCTTCACCTTTCCTACCAATTCCCTGGAAAAAGTAACCTGTTCTGCTGTGTTCTGTTCCTCAACTGCAGTCACCAGAAAATTCGGTGCCACTGGGCTTGTGCCACTGCCGTTGGGCTGAAACCGGCCTCACAGGCCTGCATCTGCAGCACCAGGCACTGCCGCCCACCCATCATTCAGCCTGCAACCTCTGCCATCGGGTCTCCGTCCTTCCTGCTCTCCCTCCTTACCACCTGTCTCTTTCTCCACCTACCCTCTACAACTTCGTCTCTCTGAGGTTTCATCCCCTTCCTTCCTCCTCATCTCATTCTGCTCGGGCGGTTTCACCCACACTCGAGCATTTAACCACTTAACCACCAGGGCTTCTCCACTGTGTTTCCTGCCTACCCTATGCTTCACACACACCATACTGCCTCTCATTTTCCACAACGAATTGTAAGCTGGGAAGGATGTCACCAGAGCAGGAGCAGAATTTTGGGCAATGAAGGGGAGGGGAGAGCTTGGAAAAAGTACATGAGGCCAAGAAATTCTGATCTGCCTCTACCTCTTTCCTGCCGCCACACACCGAAAATCACTGATCTGCAGGATTCATATATCCAGACTCAACCTCTCTCTCCTGACTTCCAGACTTGTATTTTTAGCTATTACACATATCTACCTGGGTAGCCCACAGGTACCATCATTATTTTAAACTTTATGCCACTAATTAGATTATTATGCTGGAAGTCTCCAATAGGGAAAGGGGCCTGGGTGGGGAGGGGTAATGGTATCTCACTGGGGTTTTCACTGTAATCTTTTCTTCAAGACTAAGTTGTCACTTAGAGTTCATAGCTCTCAGAGCACTTTGTTCATTTCTCTGTTACATACTTATCCATGACTATTTGTGTACGAATCACTCCCAGCTACCAGACCAGGAGTGCATTTGAATCCCCAGGCCCTGGCACAGTTTCTGGCTCACAGTATATGCTAAATTAATAAGTACTGCTGAATGAAAGCAGATAGATAGCACTGTGTTTACCCTACTGATATGCAGACAAAGGAAAATTTAATTCTGCGTTGAGATTAGAGACAGTTTCCCCATGGATGTTATGGAGAGACTTAAGATGAACAGAATTTCAGGAGAAAGATGATGGGGTGCATTCCGGGCAAAGTCAACAGTTCATAGACAAAGGCAGGACGGATCAGTGTGCACAAAGATCTGATGTGGCCAGAGGGTACTGTATTTGCTGGAGTGGCATGAGACAAAGTTAGAAAGAGTGGCATGGGCCAAGCTCCCTTGAAAGTAGAGTTACAGAGTCCTGATATAAAAACCAGTCAATGTCAGCATGCTGATGATGGCTTTTAGGCAGGGAAATGATACAACCAACCCAATTCAACTTTCAATATCACTAAAAGTAGACTGTCTTTATATCTTATCTCTTAGAGGCACTAATGTTTTTAATCTTGCCCCACTCCAATCCATTAAAGAGGTGAGGAAAATACTGTGCCTGGTATTTTGGAGGCTGGAAAGTTGGGGAGTTCTGAATGGGTAGATTTGGAAATATGAGAAAATCAAACTATTTTTGATAAGATTTTTTGTTTCAAGATCCTTCCTCCAACCCCTAAAAAGAAAAAAAAAAAATCAGAGCACAGGAAACAATCCCTCACTTGACTTAAAAAAAAAAAAAAGATTCTTAGAATGTTATACCTTCATTTCCTGTTTTCTACCTTCACTTTGGGGTAACTTTCTTTTCACAAAATTTCAAACAGAAAAGTAAGAATAGTACAAGGAATTCCTGTATACTCTTTACCCAGAGTTACCAATTAATTACATTTTTGCCCATTTTTAAAATCATTCTATTTCTAAATATATATTTTTCCCCCTGAACCACTGAAAGTAAGACAAATGGTTGTCTTTACTCCCAAGTGTTTCACTGTGTAAGAACAAGATCATTTTCTTACACAATCTACAGTACAATTATCAAAACCAGGAAATTTAACACTGATATAATACTGTTACCTAAATCAGCATCTATATTCAAATTTTGTCAGTTATCCCAATAATGTCCTTATGGTTATTTTCTCTTCAAATTTTTTAGATTATTGTTAAATAATGTGCCTTTTGTCCCAAGATATTTCAATAATCTTTACAGTATTGCTACATTTTCTTCACATACACGTTACTGTATATTTGATCCACTTTAAAAGATTGGATTTTGGGGTGCCTGGGTGGCTCAGTTGGTAAGCACCTGACTCTACTCTAGATTCGGCTGGGGGCATGATCTCAGGGTCATGAGATCGAGTCCTACATCAGCTCTGTGTTAGGTGTGGAGCCTGCTTAAGACTCTCTCTCTCCCTTTCTCTTTGCCCCTCCCTCACTCTCTCTTTCTCTCCCTCTCTAAAAAAAAAAAAATAGTAATAATTAAAAAAATAAAAGGATGGATTGATGAAATATCACAGTAACCGCAAACAAGTCTGAACAGTCTCTAAGTATATCTCAGGACGATTCAGGCTCCACAATCAATTTTCTAGATTTAAACTCTAGATTCAAGCTCCCCCAGTACTCTGTATTAGGCAAATTATTTTGCTTCCCTTCCCATTTCCTCAATTGTAAAATAGAATTATAAAATAATAACACTTAACCAATAAGGATGCCAGAAAGATGAAATGCTAAGTGCACAGAACAATGCTTTGCATATCATTAGTGCTCAACCATTATTTTTACATAGGCACAGTCTACATCAAGGCATTGCTGGGTTGAAAGGATGCCAATAATATCAGAACCATCAGTGGAAAAGATACTAAAACAATAAAATGAAAAAAATACATAACCAAATAATCCAATTCCAAGCAACAAAAAGGCTACAAGAAATACAATGAATACTTTGTATCATTTCAAGAAAACTGTTCAGTGGCAGATGGGACAATGAAACCAGCTCAGAGCCATCACTGGCAGTAGTAATTTGGCTCCAGGAAGAACACATTTAAAGATTTAAAAACAGACAGCTAGCTGAAAAAAAAAAAAAAGGCCATAGTTCCTTTTTTATTGGCTTCATGGAATTTTATGTTGTAATTCAGTGCACACAATATTAGAGATATTATCTTTCAGATGATGGTTCTCTTGCTGAAGGCAAGCCAGGACATTTTTTTGGATATAGCTTAAGTCAACATCATCAACCAGTTCATGATTTTCTGATATCATAAATGCAGTTAGATTTGAACAAAAAGAGAGAGATGATCAAAATCAACCAGTGGAAATGACAATCTTAGCACATCTGCAAAGAAATCATCTTATAAAGTGACTCTGCTGATATTTAACAAATAGCTTGGTTTTATTAAGACAAAAAAAAAGTTGCAAAAGTACATTGTTTCTATACTGTTGGTCCTGAAGTTGTTGCTAACTCTGTTCCACTCCAACTATTACAAGACCAAGCTGTCCTGAAGTTTACTAACCCAGGGAAATCCTGACTGGTTTAACAGAAAGGGCTGACCCAATATCCTCCAGCTTCTGTAAGCAAAGGTCTGTGCTAATCATGGTTTAGCATCATCTCAGGGCAAATGTAGCTGTGGCTGGCTTCTGGCAAATTGTTTCTTCATGGAAATATCAAATGAGTGGAAAACTCCAAGTAGCATGACCATCCGCTCTACTACGAGCATTGTGACAAAAGTAATCCATCAAGGCAAAATGTAAGGCATGTGCATTTGACTTTGCATTTTAAGTTTTGATCAAGAAAAGGTAAATCCCTCCTCCTCCAGGATTTTTTTAAAAATAATTTTTCAAAATAGTACGCTTCTCAACTTGGTGAACTTTTAAAATGCCTTAGCTAGATGCACTTTATTATTTTTTGATGTATTCAAAATGCTACTGAACAATACTGGAAGTAAACAGGTACTCCCTTTCCAGCTCTACATGTGCCCTGCTGAATAACCTTGCAGTAAGTCATTTGGCTTTTTATTTGTTTTCTCATATATAAAATAAGGACAATACTCACAGATGTTGTTGAACTACTAAATTCCTTTTAAAACCTTCTAAATTAGAATTTAGACTAAATTTCTTTTTTCAAAGAAACCCTCAGAATTGTCAATATGGGGGCCCTGAATGGCTATCATGTAAGTCTCCGACTTCTATTCCCTCCTTATTTTCTACTTATAGGTAGACTTTTACTGCTTTTTAGTAGTTGTGGCAAAAAAAAAAAAATTGATGCAAAACTAAAGTAGGTGAAAATTAGATTTTTGTATTTTTTATGTTTCAATGACCTATGCCCTCTTTTCACAGATAATTTAGAATTGGTCCTATTATAATTATTGAGCTTCAGTGCTCTACCAGGAATAGTGGTATTTCTTAGTGTGAAAGAGAGAACAGAAACAAACAACAACAACAACAAAATCAACTGTGGGAACATATGAAAATAATAGGTTTTAAAGACCTATTACGGTAGAGATATAAAAGACTGATGCTATTTGTTTTGCTGTACATAATGCATTTTCCCTCACTAGAATCTCTACATACTAGAGGGAGAGGGGAGATCCACTGTCTGACCCCCACCTTCTGGGGATTTTTGGGGGGTCTAAATAACAAATGGTATTGAAACTTTAGAGCTTCCCTTATTTCACAGGCTTCATGCCTAATGGATTTCCAAATCACACTATTTATCATGATGTTTTGCTTAAGTCTTTCAACCAACAAATCCTCTGGCACCATACAAAATGTGTTTTCATTTGTAACCCCTGACATCCCACATGTTTCAAAGCTTTACAAATGTTACACTTCAATAATGGGGAAAAATCCTGTTTTCCCTAATAGCAATGAAATCTCTTCCCATGCCAGGAAAGAAAAGGTTTGCCGTTGGCAGTTAAATGTAAAGCTGACGGTATGACTGAAGAAGGGGCACAGTCCTCAAGCCTTTCTTCCTCCATCAAAAATTCCTCAATACCAACAAAATGTCCCTGTCAAAAAACTACAAATTTGTGTGAGGCACAAAAATCTATACCCTGAGTCTCAATGTTGTATTTTTTATAATTAAATAAAGTGAACCAGAGCTAATGAAATAGTCTTCAATTATTTTGAATCATAGCTACAAATACGTCAGTTGTTTCTCTCACCAAAGAGTACATCAGAGACTTCCATGAAATGCAGAGAATTCTATGAAAAGTGCAAATAAACGTGGTGTGCTAGGTAATTTTCAATACAGGGGAGAGAATATTTCTGGCTTTGAACATTACACTAAAACAACACTTTAACGAATCCTGGTTTGTCACTGAAACAGGGGTCTGACCTGCTCCCTACACTAGACTCCTAATCCCTGAGGGCGATGATCAGATTTTGCACCGAAGCTGGAGTGAAGCAATCTGAAAACAGACCACTATCACTCTACCGGTCCAGACAGCAGATGGAAGCAGACAGACAAGTTTCACGAAGTTAGCGAGTAAAGCGATGGCCAATCGTGCATTACCAAGGGGCAACGGGGTGGAGAGGGGCTTCGAACTCCTGGCCGTCCCTGTTTTCCCGACTGCACCTTTCCTGCCTTCAGGAAAGCTGGGCCTGTCAGCTATTCAAAGAGTCAAACTGTTCCGAGAAAACTGGTGGTGGACAGGAGAGAACAATTTCCTTGGTTTTGTTTTCCGAGGCACCACCCCAGAGCTGCCGGAGAAGACGCAGGGCGCGCGAGGGACGGGACCCTGGACGCGCAGCATCTCTAGGGTCTCGGGCACTAGAACACTCACCTCTCTCGGGTATCTGCGGACTGTTTCTATCTTTCTTTCTTTAACTTTCCGCACCCCGCGCCCCCCCCCACGCTCCCCAGTGCTGGTTGCAGACCCGGCTGGGAGAAGCCGCGCGCCGGCCGCACGCTGCGAAGGGGACTCACCTGCGCGCTTCGCCGCTGCAGGAAGGAGGGAAGGCGGGCAGGGGCGAGGCCGGGGCGGCCCGACGGGCTACGCGGGAGCCGGGGCGCCGCAAGGAGCGCGGCCCGGGGAAACGCGGCGGGCGGCGGCCGGGATACAGTCCGCGCGGCTCCGGCCGCCCCCAGCCTCGCCGCCACGCCCTCGACGCTCGCGGGAGCCGCAGCCTCGCCGGGGGCGGGAGCGGCGTCAGGGCCCAGCCGGGCTGCCGGCGTCGCGCGCGCGTGTCCCCGCCCCCTCCCCCTCGCCCGGCGGAGTGCGCGCGGCGCAGGCGCCCGAGGTCGGCGGCATGCGGGGGCGCGCCGGGCCCGGACGCCAGCAGGAAGCGGCCCCGCCCCTCGCGCGCGGCCTTGGGGGCAGGGGGGCGGGGCCGGGCGGGCCGCGCGCGCGGCCTTGGAGTGCACGGCTGGGTTTGTTGGTTCCCGGGCTGTGGGGCGGTGGGGCTGGTGCGCTGGAGCGGGGCTTTAGGTACCGGACGACAGGATCTTTGGCCCCCTTCTCGTCTCCCACCATAGCCAGAAATAGTTTATCTCCTTCTCGGGTTAGCCCCATGTGTCGGCCACAAGAGTAGTTAGTGGGAGTATTAGGGACATTTACTGAGCGCCTGTTACTATGTACAGTGCGCCGCGGGCTTGGCGAGCTTTACCCCGTTTAACCTCACAGTGACCGGCGAACCGGACATTATTAGCCAGCTTTTATAGACGTGCTGAATTGCCCGAGGAGAGGCGGCGGCTAGAAGGTAGCTGAGCTCTAGGTAGACCGGGTGTGCAGCTCCGCAGCCTCGTCTCTTCACCGCATTGGGATTCCGCCGCCGCTGCCGCAGCCTCCTCCCCCCCCCCCCCC